AAATTTTCGATAGATTATCTTCGATCAGTGTTGGTCGTAGTTTCATAGTAATCATCAACGAATATGCAATAAAGCTTTTACACATTGTAATAATGTTTGAATCGCGTGTTTGAGCCGTGCGGTTTCGCCGCGGCCTTCGGTGTGAGCAACACTGCAAATAAAGTAACTTTGAATAGCAGATATGAATTTTTATTGTGTAACCCCTACGGCTGTCGCGCTGTGTCCGCAAACTTAGACAACAGAGAGAGAGAGAGAGAGAGAGAGAAAGGGAGAGTGCGAGAGAAAGAGATAAATGACAACTGTAGCTTGGACTAATTACACTAATGGAAATTGTTGACACCATCTCTTTTTTCCCCTGTTTGCACCTCCAAAATTGGACCTGTTATTCAAGAACAATATATGTCAATTTTTTACGTTTTGTAAGGACGATTTCACTAGCCACTATTATTGCTGGAATTCTGGATAATACTAGACAATGAAGGCATTCATGACTTTTCTGCCACCAAAGCAACGCCACTTTGCAATGAGGTGGAATATTTGTCAGAATTCATAGCTGGGAAGATAATTTCTTAGGTAAATGTTTTTATTTTATTTTATAGAATTCGGGTGACAAACGAGCACACAGTCCTCCCTTTTTGTAGGAGAGGGGGCAAATGAGCATACGGCTGACCTGATGGTAAGTGACTACCGATACCCAAAGACAACTGCAAAAAATGCAGATGCGTCAACCTTTTAAAAAGGAGTAGGCTCTTGAAGGTCCCTAAGGCGTATCGGTCCGGAAAATTTGGTGGTAGTCGATTTCACAAGGAAATAGTGCGAGAAAGAAAACTTTTTAAATCGCACAGTGGTGCACCGCCAGTCATCCAGATGGTATGGATGGTATCGCGAGTTTTGTCGCGATGTGCTATGGTGAAATTGTGCTCCTGGATTTAGTCCGAACTTCCCGTGGTAAATGCGATAAAATACGCAAAGAGATGCAACATCTCTTCGCAGTGTCAGTGAATCAAGCCGATCGGAAAGAGCTCCGTAACCAACGATTCCAACAGCTCTACCCTGGATAGGATCGAATGGAACGAGCTGGCACTGGGGAGCCCCAGCCCAGAGATGGAATCAGTATTCCACGTGCGGCCGAATCTGCGCATTGTAAAGATGCAGGCGATGTGCCGACTTGAAATACTGTGATTGTTATGCATGCAATTTCAATTTGCAATTTGGCCTTCTCTTCCAAGTGACTACGAAACTGCACGTCACTCCATATGTCGACGACAAGAATTCCGATACTGGCTGAGGCAACAAGGTGAGTGTCTTGAAACTGGGGAGATACGGCGAAGGGGTTCTTTTTAGCGGTAAACGCGCAAACTTGTGTCTTCTGGGGATTAAACTGGACTAGAATTAGTGTCTGAAGTCGAGACTTTGTTCAACAGAGTCTCGACCTCAGACGCAAGTTTGTCCCGGTATTCGGCGACGATTTCCCGAGAAACTTTGGCACGGCCAATGTATAAAGCATCAACAGAGCTGTCGTCCACATAGCAATGAATGTTACTGGGTTGCAACATATCATCGATATGCAGAAGAAACAGCGTTGGTGATAGCACGCAGCCTTATGGAACACCAGTGTTAATGGACTTGTAATCGCAGCATGCACTGTCTACAACGACCTTGATGCTCCGATTTCCAAAAAACTGGTGATCTAATTGCACAATTTCTCGAGAAGCCCATATGAAAGAAGCCTCGTAAGAAGCGCTTTGTGCCAAACCCGATCGAAAGGCTTCGCTATGTACAAACTAACAGCCAACGCCTCCCCCTTGGACTCTACTGCTTCCGCCCGTTTAGTTAGGTAACCCAGAAGATCACCAGCCGAGCGACCCCAACGGGAACCGTACTGGTGGTCACTAATCAGATGGTGAACCTCAAGATACCGTATGAGCTGGCTGTTAATAATGGACTCCATTATTTTCGAAAACAAGGAGATGATAGCGATAGGCCTATAGTTGGACGGATTAGAGGGGTTACTTTTATAGGAATCGGGTGCACGAAAGTTGTCCATGATTTCGGGACTACGCCTAGGGAGTAGGAGTACCGGAAAAGACTGTGCTAACTCCTAAACACGTCTTCAGCACAATAGGAGGGACGCCAACAAGCCCACTCGACTTGTTGACATCCAGGGAGAGGAGTGATCTGCGCAGCGAGCGTCGGGTAGACAGCACATCCTGCATGGAGCACTCACACCACGAGACGGTCGGCGGTGTGTTCCCTCCGTCATCAAGAGTCGAGTTGGACGCAATAAGAGAGAGCCCAGCAGATCAACTTTGTCTGTTGCGGCATGGGCCAGTAAGTCATCCTCCCTGTGCAGAGATGGAAGAGATGGCTGACAGAAGTTCCCTTGGACAGCCTTTGCGAGAGACCAGAATGCATGTTCCCGAAGGAAATCGAACTAGTTTCTCGCCAATTCTGCCGATGTGCTCTGACTTTGCCTTGGCAATGACACTTTTATTGACATTCACACTTGGAGACGGAACTACGCTTTTTTTAAGAGCTGTATTGACATCCTGAGACGTTGATGCGTCAGCCCAGGCCTGGTAGCACTCCTGTTTATGGCGTAAAGCAATTTTGCAGGAGTGACCAAACCATGGCTGGGTTCTGCCTTCGGTAGATACCACAGATGATGGAATAAAAAGCTCCATTTCCTGTTGTGTTCCATTAGCGACAGAATTAGCAACAGCGCTGGGATCATCCGGCGAGAGGGGAACCCGCCCTCAAGAATAGTCCTATATAATAGGTATAGTATAGTATAGGTAATAGGTATAGTCCCCCGTCTCAATCGGCTGATTGCCAAACACAGCGGCAACCTGCAGAACGCAACCGCGATGGGTGCGTGAGTGGCACCGTACTCCGGATCACACAATGGTCCGAGAAGCCAAAAGGGGCATCGACAGAAACCTGATATTCGTCCGGATGAGAGGTCAGCAGAACGTCCAACACATGATCTTCCACGTTTAGGATCACCGTAGGCGAAGTAGCCAGTTCTTTGGCATAGGGTCTGACACATCCTATGCCAAAACAAAGTCAAAAACAGATCTACCCGCATGATCGGTTAAACGGGAACCAAGCTATTCAGCGTGGTGGGCGTTAAAATCACCAAGCATCACAATCTCCGCGTCTGCGGATGGGACCTGTTGTATCACGGAGTCTGCAGCCATTTGGACGTGGTCGATGAGTCAGTCTGTATCGGTGTGCCGATATGGGACCTGTAGAGGCAACCGTAGACGCGGGGATGGTCGTCGCTGTCTACGCGCTGTCGTAGGATGGGCGGGTCCGTACCTTCCGGGCTGCCGAAGTGTCGAAAACAGATGTTCTCTCGAACATACATGCAAACTCCAGCCCGGGGCATAAAGGAGTGTTCTAATTTGTACCGCGGGTAGAAGAGATATGAAGTATCAGCCAGAGAGGACACCTGTGTCTCGATTAGAAAGAGCAAGGCTGGCGTCGCCGTTTTCAGATGGTAGCAGATGGCGTTAAGGTTTGAATGAAGTCCCCTGATGTTGCGAAATTCAAGGATAGCGTGGCAGCCTTTGTCTTGTTGCTCCGTTTGTCTCAAGCAGGTTTAGTCTCGAGCAGAATTTCACCCCCACCCCAGAAAATGCGGGGAAGCCTGAGCACCCACGCTCAGGAAGAGTAGAGTAGCTTGAGCGTCGATGCTCAGCGAGGGATTCTCCGTCACCAGGGGTGCTGGTACCCCCTGATGGGATGGTGTTGTTTTGAACTCCGTGTTAAGAGGGGAGGGAGAGGGGAATAGGGCTTTCGACCATCTACACTCACCAGACGAAATGCAGAAGCAGAGCTTCTACTTTACGCTGGTCTTCTGTGAGGTCGTGGTACCACCCCGGTTCCAGGCGGTCTATAAGTGTAACAGCAAAAGCTGGCGCTTAGCTCTAACACTGTTAAACCACCACCACCATCTGATGGTAAGTGGATCCTGTGGCCCATAGCCATCTACATTTAACCTCGATTAAAAATCAAAATGAAGATGCGTTGTCACTCCTGAGGACGAAGATGGAATGCCTCAATTCCAGTAAAACGGGTTCCAGCTCCGGTTCTCTACATTCACGAAACACATTAGCATCAAGCTGCTATATTACGCTGGTATTCTATGAGAGCGTAGTCCTTCCCCGGTGGAGCCGATCCTTTCGTGCTACAATCATAATATAGCTGCAACGTGGCTCTACCACGTATAAAATTATGTAAGAGTAAATGTATTATTAGTTAAATTTTATTTTATTAGATTAAAAATAAATAAACCAAACTATGGATATAACTGAAAGTTGATAAACTAAAAAATGATTTAGAAAGATTTAGTGCAGAAAATTAAAGATCAAACCACTTAGGCATCGTTTTGTGTAACTGTAAGATACTGATAATAAAGTCCTCCAGACCGAATTCCGGCCACGGCGGCCTGCCTCAACGGAGGATAGCCATCGGCGCAGGACAGGATTATAGTGCCCAAGTGTATGCGCAAGCACAGGTGCACTCTATTCCCTCACTCTCATAATCCGATGGGACGGTAAACCGACACGACCGGAGAGAGATCAGGCGCAGGACCAACGGCTTTACGTGCTTTCCGAGGCACGGGGGTGAGACACCGCCAACTTCCTGACTTCGGGCAACTACTGAGAATTTCTTGACGGAAAAACTCAATAAATAATTTTTGGCCCGACCCGAGATTCGAACCCAGGAACTCATGATCAGCAGTCGCACTACTACAATCACTAGACCAACGAGGCAGTAGATAGCATAGATACTGTATATATATGCTATCTACTGCCTCTACTGCTATCTACTGATAGATGGCAGTAGATACTGATACACCATTATTTAAAACTAATTGCCTAATTAACTGACATTGTGTAACGTGTAACGCTGAGTAACGTTGAGGCAGTCGCGAGCTCTCGCACAGTAGTCTGTGTACGGATAAATTTACCCTCAATATTAAATAAGTAAGAATGTCTAAATGCGACAATTGTGATAAGTCCATAACAAAAAAGTCACCTAGGCTTGAGTGCAACAAATGTGGAAAAATAGTACACGCCAATCAATTATGCACAGGCCTATCTACGAAGCAGCTATCAGCTCTGCGCAATGCTCAAAACCTGGAGTGGACATGTGAAGACTGTCGTAAGGAATCACCTAATCGTAAGTCTTTCATAATTCCGGAGGACGATGACGATGACACTGATGGGAATCAGCTGGGCGAAAGCGGTTCGACAGCGATGAGTAAATTACTTCGTGATATCTCACTTGAGGTAAAGAAAGCAGTGAAGAAGGAATTGGCTTCTGTGAACGAATCCTTAAGCTCATGGTGTATAAAAATGGATACTATAAATGATACACTGGAAATCCTGACTGAGAACGTTAAAGACTTGGAGAAGAAAAACATGTACTTGACAAATCAAAATACCCACCTGGAATTAGTAATTGGACAAGAAATCAGAAATATGTAACAAAAACAGTTAGATAATGTACTGGAAATAACAGGAATTCCCGAAGATAAGGACGAGAACTTGGAAAACCTTCAAGTAAACTTAGCTTGACTCAAAGCTAAACATAGAGAAACGTCAAGTGCCAATGGTGAAGAGACTGAAAGGCAAGGAATGTAAAGAAGGTGTGATCCAGGTAGTATTGCAACAAGAGGAACAGGTCGACCAGTGGATCCGCGCTGCACGAACCAAAACAATTGCTATGGAAGATATAACTCCAAATGCCCCTAATCCTGAAGTAGCCAAGAGAAGAGTGTTACTTCGGCGTGCACTAACCAAAGCAAATAAAACACTTCTGTAGCGAGCTAAACAAACTTTGAAGGAAACTTACAAATATATTTGGTTCCAGGGTGGCAAGTTTTGGCTCGCAAATTTGATAATGATAAGCCAGTTATCATAAGAAGCTCATGTGATATTGATTAGTTGTATATTCAAAAATATCTATAGCAGTTTTACACAACGCAACAGTTCATCATCATCATCATTACAGCCCTTCACAAGTCCACTGCTGAACATAGGCCTCCCCCAAGTAATGCCACAAAGCACGGTCCTGAGCCACTTGCATCCATCGACTTCCTGCATGTCTTACCAGGTCGTCACTCCATCTAGTGGGGGGTCGCCCTACACTACGCCTACGGGTACGAGGCTGCCACTCGAGAACCTTTTTTCCCCATCGGTTATCGGTTCTTCGAGCTATATGGCCGGCCCATTGCCACTTCAGCTTACTAATCCGTTGGTCTATGTCGGTCACTCTGGTTTTACTACGGATATCCTCATTTCTGAGTCTATCACGCAGAGAAACTCAGAGCATAGCCCTCTCCATAGCTCGCTGAGCGACCTTGAGCGTCCTCATACGGCCAGCAGTGAAGGACCACGCAACAGTTCCTTCACAGGAAATACAAGAATTGTTTGACTGTGCTAACATAAACGAGTTTGGTAAATATCTACCACATAATATACAACAACTAAATATTGTCCACATAAAGGAGACAATCAATTTTTCTATGGAGAATGGGGCCCACTATAAATTTTAAAGATTATCAATTTAATACCAACCCTCATTAATGATATACCTACTAAAATCCGATTGGGAATAACGGACAGAAACAGAAACTTTTTTTATTCAATGTAGATTATAACAAATACTTATTGAAAGTCACTTTTTTATTTACCACTGGTTCGCAAAAAAAAACCTCTGTCCTGGGAAGAACCAGCAAGAAACCCAGCGGGACTATTTTTTTCCAATAATAACTTACAATCATGTCTACAATTAGCAACACAAGACAAATTAGAAATAGCTTGGTAGCGATCACCCTTCCCAGGGGTTATTATCATCCATAAATTCCTTAATATTATAATAACCCTTTTTATACAAACTTAGTTAAATAACAATTTTGAACTTTGTGTATGACAAATTTTATATATTTTCTGGGATTTTGTTGTAAAAGCGTATACATCGCCCCAACAATGAATTACTGACTCGGTGGAGTCGAGTAACTGGTACTACTAGCTTGTGTCTGTTCCTTGTATTTACAGAATGAAAATCACTTATTTTCGCAAAACTACTTTTATTTTTGTGTACGTACATTACATTTTCATAAATGTATTGAAAGGCCAGAGTTAAAATATTAATTTCCTTAAATTTTTGTCTCAGTGACTCTTTTGGTTTTAAATTATATATTGCTCTAATGGCCCTCTTCTGTAAAATAAATATAATTTCAGTGTCAGTCGCGTGTCCCCATAGCAAAATACCATACGACATAATGCTATGGAAATAACTAAAGTAAACTATTCTAGCTGTTTCAACACTGGTAAGAGTTCTAATCTTTTTTACAGCATATGCTGCAGAACTAAGTCTGCTAGCTAGTTTTGATATATGGGGGAGCCATTGAAGCTTTGCGTCCAGTATGATTCCAAGAAAAATGGTGGTATCAAAAAGACTCAGTTCCTCCCTATTTAAAATTACATTAGTATTGACATGTTTAACATTAGGAATTACGAATTTCATACATTTAGCTTTAGTTCCATTCAAATGCAAATTATTAACATTAAACCAATTGATTAACTTAGCTATAGCATTATTTACTTCGTCGTAATTTAATAACTGTTGTTTTAATTTGAAAATTAATGAAGTATCATCAGCAAATAATACTATATCATGGTTATCCCCTACTATGTAAGGTAAGTCATTAATATATACAAGAAACAGAAAGGAGCCGAGAATTGAGCCCTGAGGCACGCCCATTTGTACAATCGACCCGGAAGAACTCATACTATTAATGACAACTTTTTTGCGTTCTGTCACTTAAATATGAAATAATTAATTTAAGAGCGTCGCTTCTTATACCGTAGTGTTGAAGTTTCCTGATTAATGTTTAATGGTGAACACAATCGAAGGCTTTGGATAGGTCACAGAACACACCCAAAGCATCCTGTGAATTCTCCCATGCATTAAATATATATTTAATCAGCTCAACACCATTGAAATAATACTAGTTTTTACGGAATTTATCGCGTATATTTAACTTTTTAAATACCCGACGTTTCAAACGCTTTACAGCACTCATGGTCACGGGCAGGACTGAGATGTTCAACGTCCATATGTCATAGTTAACCGCGGTTACCATAGATTAAAATTTAACTTTTGTTCCGATCTATGCAGTATGAACTTATGGTATCTTGAAGTCTTGCAGTTGTATGCTTGGGTTGGGATTTAATTTTATTTATTATAGGATCCCAAGCAGATGGTAGCACCCAGCCATCTTCTCTATTGAAATTAGGATGTTTTTTGATTTCAATAGCCTCGCGAATCATCCTTGGAAGGAATCGGTGTTCTTTAGCGAGGATCTGCAGTCTATGAAATCTGATGTAGTGACGGGGGCGATCCTGTACGTGTTCACAGACTGCAGACTTCCCGGAGCGTCGATTCTTCACATCAGCTATATGTTCTTTAACGCGGGTTTTTATTGATCTTTTAGTTTGTCCTATGTAGGAGAGACCACATTCACAATCAAGCTTGTACACTCCTGCATCTTGCAGAGGGACATTACACTTGATCGATGGTAAAAACTGACCAATCTTCTTCAGCGGCTTGAAGTATGTTTTGATGGAAGCGCGCTTCAAGATGTAGCCAATCTTGTCAGTGACTCCTCTAACATATGGCAGTACAGCAGGTACACGCTCGACTGTGGCCGGCTTCACTCGTTCACTGTGACGTAGGCGCGGGACTCGAAGCTTGTTGTCATGCAAAACTTGCTTGACATGGTGGAGCTCTGCAGCCAGGTGTTTACTGTCACAGATCCCTCGTGCTCTCTGAAACAAAGATTTACCCACGGTAGCTAACTGTGAAGGATGGTGGTGAGAATCACCGTTTAAATATCTATCTGTATGGGTCTTTTTTCTATACACAGTATGGCTCAAGGTGTTATCAGGATTCCGAATTACTAACACATCTAGAAAAGCTAAGGAATTGTTTGCCTCTAACTCCATTGTGAACTGAATTTTAGAATTTATAGAGTTAAGATGGTCTAAAAATGCAGTTACTTTATCTAAAGGTAGAATTGTGAAAGTGTCGTCTACGTACCGCTTGTAGAACCTGGGATTTATGGGAGAACTAAGCAGGGCTTTCTCCTCAAAGTCTTCCATGAATATGTCGGCGACAATGGGAGATACAGATGAGCCCATCGCCACACCATCTACTTCCTTGTAGAACTCCTCCTTCCACAATAGGTAGCCAGATGTAAGGCAGTGTCTGAGTAATACTGCATATTCTACGGGCATGTTTTTTTCTTCCAGCCTTCTAGTTACAATTGAGATGCAGTCTTCAACAGGTAAGCATGTAAACAATGACTGCACACCAAAACTAACCATAGTTTCATTGTCTGCCAGATGTAGGTCTTTAATCTCGCTGACAAAATGGATTCCTACCATTTTGTCAGCATAGGAATGGTAGGAAGGAATTTGGAGGCGATACGTCAAGACATCTCGTCTATGTTACGTCGATGTTCTGGACGGGCTACCTTCTGGATGGGTCTGACACCTTTATGGATGTCAAACCAGTCCGAGTAGACCCCGTTGATCCTAATTCCTAACACAAGCACTAGAGTCCCTATAAAGAGACTCCAATGCCTGTATCAAGCCTGCGCTCAACCCAAATGATTTCAGTGTTTGCCATAGCACATCCCAATCAACTCTGTCATAGGCCTTTTCCAAGTCCATGAACGCACAAAAAACCTTTTGGTTTTTGGCCAAAAACTTCTCCGCGATCATGCGCATGGAAAAGACTTGATCTGTATATCCCATTCCCTTTCTAAATCCCGCTTGCACATCCCAAATTTTTCCATTCAGTTTCTTTCATGACCCTTTCAATCAGTACTTTTATACTCCGCCAACCATCCCGCGGTGTGAGTGCTCCATGCCGGAAGTGCACTTCACACAGCGCTCGGTTCGCAAAGCACTCCTCTTCCTGGACATCCACAAGTCGATTGGGTCTGACGGAATCCCCCCAATTGTGCTGAGGACGTGTGCTCCAGAGTTGGCACCGGTTTTAACGCGTCTTTTCCGGTACTCCTACTCCCTAGGCGTAGTCCCAAAATCATGGAAGACGGCTTACGTCCACCCGATCCCTAAAAAAGGCGACCGCTCTGACCCGTCCAACTACCGGCCTGTTCTCCAAAACAATGGAGTCCATTGTAAACTGCCAGCTCATGAGGTACCTTGAAGATCACCAGCTGATTAGTGACCGCCAATACGGTTTTCGCCGTGGTCGGTCAGCTGGTGATCTTCTGGTCTACCTAACTCACAGATGGGCGGAGGCAGTAGAGTTCAAGGGGGAGGCATTGGCCGTTAGTTTGGACATTGCGAAGGCCTTCGATCGGGTTTGGCACAAAGCGCTTCTTTCGAAGCTCCCTTCCTATGGGCTTCCCGAGAAATTGTGCGATTGGATCACCAGCTTTCTTGCAGATCGGAGCATCAAGGTCGTTGTAGACGGTGCAAGCTCCGATTGCAAGCCTATTAATGCTGATGTTCCACAGGGCTGTGTGCTATCGCAAACGCTGTTTCTTCTGCATATCAATGACATGTTGCGTACCCGTAACATTCATTGCTATGCAGATGACAGCACTGGTGATGCTCTTTACACCGGCCGAGCCAATATTTCTCGGGAAAACGTCTGCAAGTGCCGGGACAAACTTGTGTCTGAAGTCGAGTCTCTGCTGGACAGAGTCTCGGATTGGGGGTGACTAAATCTAGTCCAGTTTAACCACCAGAAGACACAAGTTTGCGTGTTAACCGCTAAAAAGA